AAAATTATTAATTTATTTTAGAATGCAGAAATATTCTGTTTAACTTACGGTTCTTTGGTTGTTCAACTTGTTAAGGATTGTGAAACTTATGCAGCTGTAAATGAACAACTTGATAAAATGTAAAATATATTTGAATAATTTTATACTTATGAAAATTTATTCTAATTTTTATTTCTAGGGGATATAATATTGGTATCAGACTTATTGAAGAGCTATTGAGTAAAGCTAATATTACAAGTTGTCAAGATTTTAGAGAAACTGGTGAAATTATTTCTAAAGTAATACGCACAATCAATGCTGAATTCACGTAATAACATCATATTATAGCTAGGATTCAAGTACTTTTTAAATATTACCCCTCTTGTACAAAATTATAATGCTGAAGAAAGAGAATTCACTCTTGTTTTCGAGGATAATCCACTTGCTGAATTTGTCGAACTTCCTGAAGATGCCCTAAATGAACTCTGGTACTCTAATATTTTATGTGGGATTTTGAGAGGTGCTTTAGAAATGGTAATTTAATACAATTATTTTATAATGCCAAATTCTTATATATTTATATAGGTTTTATTACAAGTTGAATGTACATTTTTATCTGATACTTTAAGAGGTGATGACTCTACATCGATTAAAGTTAAATTAATTAAACATTTGGACGAACAAGTACCCGCTAGCGAAGATTAATAAATAAACATAATATAAAAATTACATTATGTTACTATGAATGAGCACAATTTTATATGTATAGTTATAAATATATGTTATTTTAAGATTCAATTATCGCATATATTTTACTATCGTTAGATTTAGTCATTTATGTTAAATTTTAAAAAATCATTTATTTCAATGAATTAATTATTATCATTCTAGCTCAATATTATGACTAGTGACCCTGTCTCCTATTATGCTTGTATCGATTCAAGTTCTAATGAAATAAACTTAGTTTAATATGAGTATAACAAAAGAATATTAATTAAAATTACGTCTTTCAAATAGTGCAAGTGTCTTGAATGACTAACCATCTAATAAAAAAGATAAGTAAATAAACAGCAGTATCATACCGTTATAACTTACGCTAACTGGTTTAAACTGTTTTCTTAAACTATTTTCTTCACCATAAATTACACTCAATTCTTCTAACTCCATATCAGGTAAAGTAGTTGTACCAATACCAATAATTGTATTATTAGTAATTTTTGTATTTTGTTGAACCGTAGCTAAATCAAAATGAGTAAAATTATATAATTTTGAGTAATTTGAATACCTTTAATTTCTACAATATTTTGATTTCCTAAATTACTAGTATCAACGTCTATTATAAAGTTAATATTTATAACCAAAAAATAAGAATAATTAGTTTACAGCTTGAAGTTTCGAATAAATTTTCATTTCCTATAATCATAGGCTCAGCACCACTAAATAACCGCTTAGATTAGATAAATTTTAAAATAAATTAGATTATAAAATTACTTATTAATAATAGTGCTATGCTCTTCAAAAATATTTTTATCACCTATTATAATAGGTCCCCTTCTAGCTATTATTCTACATCTATGGTGTAATATATTTCCTGAGCCTAAAGCAAATTAATAAAATATAAAATATTAATTTGAATAATTACCTATAGTTACTTTTCCTTCAATAATAGAGTCTTGACAGACTAAAGTACTTGCATTGATTTGAATTTGAGAATTATTACTTCCACTATTATTATTACTGTATTAATATTATACTGTTATTATTTTAATTTGATTTTTACCTCATTCTATTTAAAATAGTTAACATGAGCAAGTAAGGAAAGGTGAGGTTAAAATTTAAAAACTTATAGAGGTTGAATTTAATCAGTGACATTGTCGATGTTAAATTTAGTTAAATTAAAATTTATTTTTAATTATTTAAGGGATTAAATTATAAGTTTTGAATAAATAATTTAGTATAGTTTATTAGTGTTATATATCTTGTCTATAGTGTTTATATATAAATAATTGATTAATTAAGCGTTGTTTCCATACTCGTAATATTTCATTTTTCTAACAATTTTCATTAATCTAATTACTGCTGCAGGGGACAAACCTGGAATTGATTGAGCTTGTTGGAGTGTTGTTGGTTTTACTGTACTTAATATGGTTTTATCCTCAGTGCTTAAGTTTAATCTATAAAAGCGTTAGTTAGTTAATTTTATTTAATATGGTATTTTTAGTAAAACTTACTTTTCATAATCGAATGCTAGAGGAATTTGAAGACTTGAGTTTAATTTGAGATTTCTAATATCATCGTTTTGTTGATCAATATAACTTTGATACATACCTAATATAGTAAGAATATAAATTAGTTAATGATTAAAACACGAATCAGTTAGTTACCTTCAATCCAAACACTTTCTTGAACTCTTGGGTCCCAAGAGCCTAACTCAGGGAGGGCATTCTTAAAATCATCCCACTTAACTCCATTAAATTTAAGCATTTCATAAGCATCTTGGTGATGTCCCTTTTCAGAAATAGGGAATCCTAAGCTGTTCCAATGTCTTGAGGAATGCTTAATACCACGAAGGGTTTCAATTCCACTTTGAATTTGGCGTTGAATAGACTTAGTGGCTTCGTAGCGCTCTTGACTTACACACCCTGTTTGGTAGCCTATAAAGTACAAGTTAATATGTGCTAAGTTGAGCGGTTCAGCTAAATTAATTACCTCGTTCAGTTAATCTCAAGTCAGCATTGTCAGATCTTAAACAAAGTCTGTACTCAGATCTAGAAGTAAAAATACGATAAGGCTCTTCTACACCCTTAGTTACAAGATCATCGATCAAGACACCGATGTAAGCATCTCCTCGATCTAGAATGAATGGAACTCGACCCTGAGCGCGACAGCCAGCATTGATACCAGCAATAATACCCTAAAATA